TTTAATGATTACCCAAAACTAGCGCAATTTGATGATGGTAAAGAATTTTATAATTTAGGTGTAAAGTCACTATTAGAGAAACATGGAATGAAGTACTTCTCTACTAAAAATGATAAAAAGGCTGCGATTGTCGAACGATTCAACAGAACGCTTAAAACATCAATGTGGAAATATTTCTACAGTAAAGGAACATATAAATGGATTGATATATTAGGTGAATTAGTATATAATTATAACAATACAAAACACAGTACAATCTTAATGAAGCCAAAAGATGTTAGTAAAAAGAATGAAGATGAAGTATGGAATACATTATACGGTCATGAAGTTGCTGATTTACCATTACCTAAGATTAAAATTGGTGATATGGTTAGAATATCAAAGTATAAATCTATATTTACGAAAGGTTATGAAGCAAATTTTACAGAAGAGTTGTTTAAAGTGACTAAAGTTATTAGAGGAGATCCAAATTTATATGAGATAGAAGATGTAGAAGGAGAGCCTATAATTGGTAAATTTTATGAAGAGGAACTATCAGTTGTGAATAAGAAAGATGATGTTTATAGAGTTGAAACGATATTAAAACGTAAGAAGGTTAAAAGTAAAAAGATGGTTTTAGTTAAATGGTTAGGTTATGATAATAAACATAACAGTTGGATTCCTGAAAGGGAAATACAAAATATATAGTAATCTATATAATGGCTGAAGGAGGTTTTGATTATATTAAATTAGAAGATAATAAGCAAGAAGATTATAACAATGATAATGAAGATCAAGAAGATCAAAAAAATGAAAATGAAGATTATGATGAAACGTCATTTACTGATGATAATTATGGTGTAACAATAAGAAGACAGACAAATAAAACTAATACTCTTCCTCATGTTCCTACTTCCACTCCTGTTTATACAGATATTATTAGACCTGAAAATGAAGTTTCTTTTGCTGTTGAACATTTTATTACAAAAAAATTATAAAAAAGAGTTTAGATTTAATTACCTAAAAGGTATGGCAGCTTCTGAAGGTATAAATTTCAGATTAAATTTAGGTAAAACTAAGTCGAATCATATTACTTACAGACCATTAAATACAAAAAATAATGGAGGTAATAGTATAATTGTTTTAAAACGTAATAGTAATGGAGTACTACAATATAATCAAATGAAAAATGCTAAAGAAGCTGTTAAACAATTTAAAAACGATATTAAAAGAATTATTAATTTGCAAGATGAATTTATAAAAACTGAAGAGAGTATGCCTATGGTTGATTTAAATAATCAATATACATATAATTTCAAGCAAATAACTAATGAAGAACTTAGAGAACATATAGGTGTGATGGCTCATTCTGAAACTATTGATAAAAGAACACGACCACAATTCATAGAAGCACAAATAAATCACTTTACTGAAGAGCTAAACAAAACTCTAGCTAGAATAGATGAAATAGAAAATGAAAATAGTATTAACAACAATATTGATGAATTAACTCGTTTGCACGAAAGAGCCGGGGAATTAGAAATTATAATTAGAAAAGAAGAAGAACAATTAGAGAAAGAGGATGTACGAGAGAAACAAGAAGAAGACATTACTAGATTACAGCAGTTTAAAGAATGGGTTAAGGAAAATATCCCAGGATTATCAGCTTTAGCTATATCTGTGGCTGGGATAATTACAACCATTGTCATTGGTGCAAGAAAAGCAATCCTACAAGGTGCTCAAGCTACTGGTAAATTTTCTAAGGCTTTATCAAATCTAGGTAAAAAATTATGGCCATTATTAGGATCATTATTAAATACTATCGCCCAGACTATATCTTGGGGAGCTAAAGGTCTAGCATGGGTAGCTTCTAATATTTGGGTTTTAGCTATTATGATTTTAGCTATTATATACGACCAGTATAAACAAAGAAAAAAATAAAATATGTTTTAATATATATATGAACAGATTACAAGAAGAGCTTATACCTGGTTATAGAAGAAGTATTATGGCAAAATTTAAAGGAAATAGAACTTTTTATAGTATAAACTTTAACCCAAATAGTGTTAAACCGAATGAACAAGTTTATGTTAATATACCAAAGTTAAAACCAAATAGTTGCTTAGTGCCTGGTTCAGTTAATCTATTGTTTGATCTTAAAATCAGTAATACAAAAAATCACTTTCTAAATGATCTCAGTCAGATTTTAGAAAATAGACTACAAATTAAAGTTGGTGGTGAGACATTATACGACTGTAATAATCATAATGTTAGAAGTATATACAAAGACTTGTGGATGCCGAAAAGTGATCGACAAGGCCTTATTGAATATGGTATTTGCCGTCAAAATCTCAGAAAATTGATTTCTGGGGATGATAGTGCTGCAACAAGTGGGGATTCAGAAAAGTAGCAGACAAATTAATGTATGATATTTATGGTACAAGGCAGAAAATTAATATTGATAATATTCTTAAAGATCATGGTCTTTATTGTCCTTTCAATATGAATAATAACTTTCAATACATAATAACATTACCAGCAAGTGATCAAGTCCTTATCCCTCAAAGTGGTCAATCTATTGGTGATTATGAATTAGAAAATATTCAGCTAGAATATGAAACTATTGAAAATAAAGAAATTGCAGATAAGGTGACAAATTTATATTCTCAAGGAAGGAGTCTATTTTATCAGCATATAACCCTCTTAAAAAAGGGAAAATGGGATAAGTCGAGCACATTACAAAATGTAAACGTCAATGTTCCTCGTAAAAGTATGAAAGGCATTGTACTACTATTCACAGAAAATTCAGTTAGTGATAGTGAAAAATTTCCTTACACACTCGTCGATGAAGTGAAAATAACGGTCGAAGGAGTTCCTAATGTTATTTTCGCTCAAGGTATAAATAAAAAACTATTTTATGAAGAAGCAAGAAGATTTTTTGATAAAACTATCCCAATAAATAGCTTCATGACAATTGAAAAATTTTATAAGGATAAATTTGCATTAGTTGTCGATCTACGCACCTTTCAAGAAAAAAATATTGCTGGTAACGGGAAACGAATCGTTAATACTCAAAATGTTATTTTACTAGAGATTAAAAAAAGAGCATATACAAAAGATTTAAACTGTTACATCTATGTTGTTAGTGATGCTCTTGTTCAATTTGTTAATAATGATTTACAAAGTATTCAATACTAAAATAACCAGTAATATATAAATCAATACAACTTTTAATATGATTATTTTAGGTATGACTAATTGTGGAAAATCTTTTTACCTTCTTAAAATGTTAGAAGAAAACTTTAATAGACATTTTGATTTTATCATTTTATTATGTCCAACATTATCATATAATAAACCTATCAAGAATGGAAATATATAAATGAATTATAAATAAATGATTTAATTAAAGTAGAATGTGACCAAGATCGTGTAGATATTGTTTTAAAATATGTTAGTGATGTATATAAAGGCACCAATAGTCTTATTATACTTGATGACTGTGCGAGTTGCTTAGATGTTAAAAATAGGACATCGCAATTAATAAAATTAGGGTTTAGTGCTCGTCATTATGGTATTTCTAGTTTTTGTGGTGACACAGCAATTGACTAGTATTTCTAAACCTTATCGCGAAAATATAAGTTATTTAGTTACATTTTATAATACAAGCCGCAATGATATGAAAACCATATTTGATGATTATCTTTATGGTGTTGAAAAAGATGATATAGAAGAAATAACCAAAAAATTGAAAAATAATAAGTATGCACATTTAGAAATCCAACTTGTATACCCATACAAATGGAAAATTGTTATTCCGCAATAAAACATGTGTTATATATATATATGCCAAAGCGTAAAGAGCCTGAAACAATTGATGATATAATTAATGAAATTGATTCCGCAAATGATATTATCAAAGATGCGGTATGTGATGAAAATATACAAGATAAACCGCAAGAGGGTTTTAATAAAAGAGATCAACTACTTAAACTAGCTGAAGATGGTGATTTAGACAAGTCAGTTGCTTACATTAAAAAAGCTAGTCAAAAAATTATTGATAAATTATACACTGAATACGAGAAAAAAGGATTACAAAAAGCTAATGAGTTTTTAACTGATTTAGTTATATCAAAATTTTCAGATATATTAAAAGGGTTTGATGCTATTGAAGATCCCAAAGAATTAACAAAACAGCTTAAATCAGACGACCTTTTAAAACGAGATGTGTACAGTTTAGTAGAAAAAGTATCACCATATTTACCTCTTTTAGGGTTTTTATCTGGTGGTATAACAACCGTTAAACATGTTTACGAACATAAAAATAATAAACAGGATATAAAATCTGAGGAATAATATAAATGAGCTTATTTTATGGGCATGATAAAACAGATATTAATGTAAATATACAAGGATCTGTAGATAAAACACATCTATCAGATAACTACTATACTAAAACTCAAGCTGATGGTAAATTTAATGACTACTATACTAAAACACAAGCTGATGGTAAGTATGCTTTGACTTCTAATTTACTAAAATATTATACTAAAATGCAAGCTGATAATAAATATGTTTTGTTTCAAGATTAGCCAACTATTATACAAAGAATGAAACAAATGGTAAGTATGCTTTAAGTTCTAATTTAAATAAATATTATACAAAAATGAAACAGATAGTAAGTATGCTTTGACTTCTAATTTAAATAACTATTATACTAAAACACAAGCTGATGGTAAGTATGCTTTAAGTTCTAATTTAACTAAATATTATACAAAAAATGAAACAGATAGTAAGTATGCTTTGACTTCTAATTTAAATAACTATTATACTAAAACACAAGCTGATGGTAAGTATGCTTTGACTTCTTATTTAAATAACTATTATACTAAAACACAAGCTGATGGTAAGTATGCTTTGACTTCTTATTTAAATAACTATTTTACTAAAACACAAGCTGATGGTAAGTATGCTTTGACTTCTAATTTAAATAACTATTATACACAGAATGAGATTGATAGCAGAGTAAATGGTAAAGTAGTATACCATAGCAATCAATTAAATTATAACACAAATTCTAATAGCCTACAAATTATTATCAGAATTATTTTTAATAATATTAAATCGATTGAATTTTCACTTTTATTAATAAATCCGTCTGATAACTCTAAAACAATTGAATTAGATATGATGGTAAACTAACAAATGATAATGAAAAATAGTTAATGCATTACTAGATTTATATTACGTATACTGTGTTGATGATGATTTCAACTATATTTATATTATTATTTCTAGCTTCATTGATAACTGGAAAAAATGGCTGACAGCATTTAATGGATTAACCAAAATACAAGTTTACAACTATACATAACACAAATGGCTAATGAAATTATCTACTAAATGATAAATTATCAAAAAAATTAATAAAAAAACTTAAGAATAATCAATATAAGTAACATAACTATAAAAAAGGATTAAAAAAATAAATTTTGAAAAAAAATTAAACAAACACTTTTAACAAAAATTATATAAAACATTAAATTAAAAAACATGCGCTGATATTAACATGTGCTGGTTACATTAAACAACCATTGTTAAAAAAAACATGCACTCAGACACGCGCCTGACAGATAAATTAAAAAAAAAACATATAGATTCCAAATTTTGTAAAGAGCATATGTTATGTCTGTCGTCCTTCGGACACTACGGGTGCGCTCCTAATTCACTTCGTGAATCACCCGCCGTCGCTGAGGATTCTCGGGGCTCCATCCCCTGCTCAATTTTAGCTACGCTAAAATTTGCGCTGCCGAGCCCCTCCGAAAAGATGCTTTGTTAACATTTATTTGTAGACTGCTTGTAAATTTTAAACGCACCTATATATTTCAAAAACATATAAAAATGAAGTATTTTGCCAGATGATTATCCCTGTCATTGGACAAAATAGTGCGAAATCATCCAAAATCCTTTTGGTGCATGTTATCAATTTTGCCATAGATATCTAGAGCATTCAACTTCTTTAATCTCCTGTTTAACGTGTCCTTTAGAGCCACCAAGGCTCTGGCTGCTTGTTTTAGTGACGTTTCATTATTGAAGACATTTTAAGGCGTCCTTCATGTGATTCCCACTCCAAAACCTTTGGTTGGTCTCTCGTTTATAGCATCTAGCCAGGGCTTTGCTAAATTTTAAATTAAACTTTAAATTTCAAATAAGTATTTTACGATACGGCTCTCATATTTTTATGAAAGAAAGAAAATTATATTCATCGACATACTAGTTGTTCATAATATACTATCTACTAAAAATCCAAGTTAAGAGACAATTATCTCATAGTATAATTTTATAACATAACAATGTTCTGACTGGGATCTCTTGGGTTTCTAAAGTCTTTTTTCGGATGATACATATTTAAATTTTTTTTCAGATAGGATTTACAGCTCAAATCAACTCCATTTACTCCTATGTTGCATTAGATGATATTTCTCTTGAAAATGGGGCATGTTCAAGTAAGTATCTGAGGGCTTAATGAAGATTTCTTTGTCACCTTAAAACTAAATGGACAGATGCAACAATAATTAGAAATACAATCTAATGTCTGGAGCTCGAAAACTTTTTTCGTTCACGTTATGAAATTCGTTTTAGACCCGTGTCAAAAAAACAAACTTTTGCATGAAAAGTTCCTTGAAAAAAACGTCTGTTGAAAACGAAAGACGTTATGACTAAATTGAATTGTTTACTGTGTGACAAGTGTCTCGTTTCTCGATACTGTTTTTTTAATATTAGATCAAAATTATTATTTCACGAAAATCCTTTAATTGACAAAACAGAACTTCGTGATAACAAAAGTAAACATGACACACACATATTTATGGCACACGTTCCTAACTAAAATTTATTATCCCATACTTCCCCCCTACGATCATTTCCCATGTTTCCCTATTTTCTCCATACACAACACCATGTCCACCTATTATATACCTATTTTGGGTGGGACCAATGAAGTTTATCGTCTATTTTTCTTAAAAAAAGAATGAGTAAAAAAGATAATATTAAAAACTGATAACATCTGGATGATTAAGTTCGTAATTTCGTGTAGGAGGTAATGACGTGCGCGTGATTCAAATGACCCACTAATTTAACTTAATGCTAATTTGCTAATCTTCTATTCAAAATTAAAGATTCTGTTACAATCAATTCTCAAATTATGAGAACACAGAAGAAGACTATTATTTTGGACAAAAATTGAGAATATAGAAATTGTCAGTTTAAAAAGATTTTCTCTTCCCCAACAATCACCTTACAAGTTTTCCACGTAGGTTTCCCGCATAATCTACCAACAATTAAATCTCCTTTGCTTCATAAAAGTCTCCTCTACGAGTTGTACAATTTCCGTTTTTGGAAAATTGAGAATCCTCACATTATTGAACTCAATCGTATGCTTAATTGAATCATTTCACCATAGTAATATTTAACATTTTAGGCGCAATATTATGCTACACGTGTTGCCTATCTCGTTTAGTAGGTATATTTGCTACACTGCAACAAAACGCGCTAATTAAAATTAAACTGGTTCATAAAACCATTTGTAGGGTAGTGCAATATCACCAAAAATATTTCCTACCTATTTTATTGCGCAAGTTGTGTGTTACTGTGCATGAGTTTCTATGAGCTTTTGGTCCTCGTACATAGTTACATTTGACTAACCCTTTAGGTGGGAAAGTTTTTTAAAAGTTTTTTGTTATTTCGTTTGGAAATTGTTGCAGATCAACTAGACTGCAAAAGAAACGGTTAATGCACGTGTATCAAGTAAAGCCAGACTTAACACGGGTTTTGAAAGGCTGGTTGCGTAAAATGCCAAAGAAAGTCACAAGTATAGCAGTCCGTTTTCTTCAAATGTGCACTTCCCTTCTAAACTTATTATTATTAATTTGACAATGGTTATTTCTCTTCAAGAACCTGTAATATATGATGATTGTTTGAAAGCTCAAACGAGATCTTCTTCAGAGTATGAACTTTTATATATTATATCACACTTATTGCTTATTTAATACATAGCTATACATGGTAGATAAAAATTACTGTTAGAATACTTTTTTTTAAAAAAATAGTAAGTGTTTTTGCGTTGAACAAGAAAAACATTTGATAATTTGATGAATATTTTACCGTTACTTTACACAACAGGCAATGATTTTTTACCAGTGAAAGTACTGTTGTTAAAGTCCTTCGAAACGAGCCTTGCCCAAAAAAATTATTGAAGGAACAATAAATTCATCCTAAGTGAAAATAGTGATGTAGCTGCGCCGGCTATTAAAATTTCAAGCAATTTTATGTTGGCATTGGTCAACACGACATCAGTCAAGCTTGGATTTGCGTTTATGCATTTCACACCAAATTCTTTGCATTATTTCAAATTGTTTTATCCATTGTCGGAAATTTTCGTAACTTATGATGTGAAATTGGCAAGTTAATATCCAACGTAAAAATGTTGTAGCAAAAAAAAATGCTACTTATAAAGATTTCGCGTTCTCCTGTGCTTGCACTAAATTGCTTCAAATACATTTTTTGTGAGCATGGTACAAAATCATACATTTTTAAAAAAATTGACGCCGGTAGTGGCAAAAAAAAGTTAAAGTACTTAGTATTAATGAATTTCTTTACCTATTCGAAGAGTCAACAATTTCATACGCCTAGTGCAGTGTAAATTAAAGTAAAAACAACTACTCTGTTTGTCAGCGCTTTTTGTGATCACCGTTTTTTCAGGTCACTGCTTTTTATCTGTCAAGAATGATCAATTGTACCAATTCCAATGATTTCCTTCATTAGTGAAATCAGTGTCGAAAGAAAGTATTGCATCAAATCGCGAAATGATTTGGGTTATGACGAAACCGAATGTCGAAGAAATGCTGGATCAAGTGTAGAATGCAATGGTATTGGACGAACATTTCTTGGAAAAATAAGTGGAAGCTCAAAATCTGTAAGTTCAAATTAATCTTTACGGCATTTGCCTCCCATCCAAAAATATTGTATAAGGTCTCAGAAAAATGAAAATCTATATTTTTTTATTTTTCAATTTAACATCATATGTAAATATCAATTTTAGATTTCATGGTACGAGTGAACTTTAATGGTAAAAGTATAATTTAAGGATATACAGTTAATGCAGAAATAACCATGCCCAAATAAACTGATAATTAAAAAGCTCACGATAATTTAAGTGTTCAGTTACCTTTGGTCAGTTAAGTACTTGGACACCTACAGTAGTTTATCTTAGATTACAATCATCTTTAATAATGATAATCATTTGTAAGAGGAGAAATATTACTTGGAGAATACGACGCAATTAACATTCTATTGAAACTAACACGATATTAGAATATGGCACATATCGTTTCAGCTGATGACGATGAGTTAGTTCAGGTAATTTAAAATATGCTTATTGCAGCAGTAAAATTCTGTCTATATAAATGGATTGTTATGTATTGCCGTTTTTAAATGCCTTTTTTCAAGCCCCTTTCACTTACATGCTTATTTCGGTTTTTACAAAGTAATACTTTTCACATGAATTATATACGGAAATCTAAAAAAAGATAATACAGAAATTGGTTTAATTCGATACGTTTTAAACTTTTGCCAATGATTTTTCAATAGGGTGATGACTGACGAGTCATTAACGAGACATTTAATTAATACACGTATATCCACACATTCAAAAAGCATAGAATATAGTTGTGAAAAGCATATTTTTCCATATACGGGTAAAACCGCATCTTTGACTGTTGTTACACAAAAAATACTGATTATCTGAAGTAAATGTTATTTTAGTTATTAGTTATTTATGTTTTAATTGCATTGCAGAATAACACCACTTATGATTCAAGTATATGGCAATCTAAAAATGCAGAACAAACGGTCTTTAATTCCCAATTCTGGAGTGCTAACGTTACAGAATTGTGCCTGCAAACTTATTATTGCAAAATACAATTTTACATTTCTGCACCTGGCTTTTGTAGTTTATTTTTTGGAAAGAAAATT